TGTTGTCATCACAAATCCATATATTTAGATTCAGTGCCATCCTTCTTTTTAGACTGAAGATGGGAACCATCACCATGGTTCTAATGCAGGTTATTGTGACATGGATATTTTTCGTAATATTGTGAATGAGTTTTTTTGTATTTGAACCAGAAAAAGAGGAGTGTGTTAACGCAACGAAGCAGTTGTTTGAATTGCGCAACATTTGCAAGAAGAATTGACCAGCAATGTTCACTTTAAAACGCCAGACAACCAGGTGCATTAAGCATATTTCTGCTTAATCCAGTCTTTAGAAGTTCAGAAGTCAGAAAAAGACGGACTGCCACGCCTAGAGGAATACAATCGATTGAAAGTTGTAGGTTTGCTTTAGTCTCTTACCTCGCAGGTTGACTTTGCTTGTCGATTCAACAGAGGTGTATCTGCTTGCAAGAGGAACATCGCGATGACTGATTCTGACACCAGAAACAGCGACATCGAGGTCGAGGTCTCCTGTAGAGCACACCATACCCTAACCAGAACAATGCTAATGTGGTACCCTTGCCTTTACGATTCCCCGATTTGTCACCCATTCAACATGCATGAGATGAAATGGAGCGATGTTTAAGACGTCATCCGAATCTCTCAAAAAACTCAGCGGGAACTTTGCCTTCCCGAGGCCTTTTATCGACGCCAACTGGCCTAAATGAGGCGAATGTGCCAGGTCTGCATCGATGCACAAGAAGGGCGCATGCGCTAGTAAACATGCTTGTGAACTCTTCTTGTGTTGTGGTCCATTTCATATTCCAGGTGCGCTGTTTTCATGGGCTGGTGACCGTAAACATACGATTATTTCAGTGTAATAACAATTCATTCATGGCAGTCGGAGTTTGACACTGATTTTGTTTGTGTGTCACAAACGCGTTCGTCTTTGAGTATAGACTAGGGTAAGTGTGTGAATAGATTTCTTCCGTAATGTTTATGGTAGTGTATTCGCTTTTTCCCCTGTACAATATTCTCCATGACAACCTTACAATATGTGACGTATTTGTATATTATTACCATATTTTTGTTTAAGATGGTATCTGTGGAACAAATTGCATGACAACTAGCTGTATTTACTACGTATATTGAAACGCTTAGTGTTTAATGGTGTGTAATTAGATTCTTTGTGAGAAACCACATTTGTATTTACAGTTATGTTTATCAATAGTGAGGTCCGGGTTAGAATATTGGCCTTCAGTAACCCATGCTTGTCGTAAGAGGCGACTAACGGGATCGGGTGGTCAGGCTCGCTGACTTGGTTGACACATGTCATCGGTTCCCAATTGCGCAGATCGATGCTCATGCTGTTGTTGATTACTGGATTGTCTGGTCCAGATTCGATTATTTTCAGACCGCTTGAATATTGCTGAGTGCGGCGTAAAACTCAACTCACTCACTCACTCACTCAATAATCAGTAGTGCTCCATTCAGGGCTTTGTAACACGATTTGCTTCAATTTGCAATATATATATGTCCATGTCTGATATGTTTCTGTGATAAAATATTTTTTTCGCTTAAACTACCCGTGCTGCACTTACATTGTCCCAGAGATATTCTTTAGAAACACCTAGCTTTTCAATAAAAAAGTGATCGAAAATATCTGTTTCGTTTCAATTCAAACGCTATTCCTCTGCTATGACTCCGATCGGAAACCTCAGATACATCAGTTGTATCACAGTGTGTGATTAGAATGGGGGAATCCAGAAGTGATGTAGGTCGCTTACGCTTAGCACTGTGTGAACGAACATATCAACGAACCATGCTTGGTTTCTGACCCAGAGGCTAAGCTGTGTTCTTGTTTCTTTTATCGACCTCCTTTGTAGATGCTATATGGCAGGCAGGTTATATAGCTTCACATAAGTAGTTGAACTACTTCAGACTTTGTTCATGATGTTCATGCTGGATACTACTATTGTGCATTTGCAGGGAATCATAGACCGATGAAGTACTGAGACTATGTCGAATTCGCCATACACGTTCATGAATATTTTCTGAAAGGACTTGGATCTTGATGTTCACATTGTACATTTAAAGGGAATGTCGAATTGGCCTTGCACGTTGTATTCATGAATATTTGCTGAAAGGAGAGGACCCTCTATTTCGTATTCCTTGTGATGAAAGTATCACAGTCAAATTTGTCCTGCTTGATTGTATTGATTTTTACATCAAATGATATCAATATTTCAAATCATCATTCATGAAGGATCTCATTCATGGATTTAGTTCTAAGTTTAACTTAAAACTTAAAAGTCATATACTGTATCTTGTAAATGGTAAGAGAAATGTTAATTTGGAAGAATGACTGCATACCAATGATATCTTGGTGGTGGTGGAAGCAGTTTATAATATACTGAAATCCATTAGAAATGCATCACTCCTGATAAAACGTTTTAGCTTCCTGATAAATGAAGAAAAGAAATTGTCCCCACTGACATTGAAACTGTCAATCAAGATGGAAACAAAGTTACAGTTAAACGCTGTAATTCATCATCTACTGCAATCATAAATTAAAGACAGCACTGACTGGGGTCAAACTGAAATTTTAGAACTTTCACATAGTCAAATGTTGGGTATGGGCAGATTCATTAAACGCTCTAAAACGACGACTTTGCAATATAGATATAGATTTTCCTTTTTTCTTTTTCTTTCTTCTTCGCCACAGCCTTCTTGTACGTGTTCCTTGAGCCCACTTGGGGTATTACTGATGTTACGGTGTCGCGAGCATATAATATGAGTTGATTACACCCTGCACGTTGCAATGAAGACATGAAATATGCATTATTGTGCGTCGGAGGAATATTTTGAGCTGTAACTTGTGAAGTGTGCCCGTACATGTGGGATTGATTCGAAAGGACGTGTGTCTTCATTTGCATCCATGAAAACGTTTAATGTTTCACCGAGTGTGTTTTGGTTCTCAGTGTCGTGATTGAATTTGTGAACAAAAGAATAATCACATAGAAGCTCGGAGGCTGGAAATGGATCTTTTTATCGAAAGAATCATCATGTTTGTCAGTGAAATATGTGTTGCAGCCTGTGCTGGTCCAATCAAGAATGACCAAGGCGACGGGTCGTGAGAGATATATTTATTTTCTCAGTGTGTCTCTATGGGCACGTATGGCGTGTGACACTCTGTAATGATAATAACTTAACATACAATGAATATTTCTATGCACATTCACGTATATATACACGGGTAGATTAAATATTGCAAAGAACAATTAAGATATTATTATCGAGCCACTGCATACATATGATATGCATATATATAATCACATAATAAGTTCATTAACTCATACTCAAACAACTATTAGTTGATCGTCACTGATAGTTTATCACATACTAATATATGCATTGATTGATTATATATATACATATACATACAATATAACATTTGCATCTTGGCATATCAAGATGAAAACTATAAAAACGCATACCCTGTGGGTCACACTGAAGTGTAGCCTTCGACCTGGGTGGTCGCCGACGCTTAGTACACCAAGTAGCACTCGGCAGGTGTAGCCTCCAGTGTAAATAATATAAATACCAGAACATTGCTAATAGTACACAATGCAGTCAACATATACATTATCTAAATATCATTACTTCCATATTTACAAATTCCTGATTATTACACCTTGGAAAATAATACAGATAAAGCTTACAATATGCATTTAGATTAAAATAGTACACAACCATTATAATGAGATCTGACACATTCATCCATGACTCCATTCATAACATTCATGCTCATAAATTCCTAACTATATACAATATCACACATTAGATTACTTAAAGGTATTTAATACAATCAATAAGGTTAATATATTCATACAGTAGACTTAGTTTAGTAAGTAATAATTTTAACTAACCTGTGGACTGATCTGTATGGTGGATGCAGTGCAGTGATTGTGACAAGTGCTGAGATGTGTTAAGATGGCTGGTGACATAGATATTTAAAATCACTAATCAAGACAAAGAATCAGGCTTCAGTCCTTTGATCAAGACAATAAAACAATTACACTAAAATGGAATAACCTGACTACCCTCAAAACAAGAATGAACTGACCCTGTAACCTGATTCATGAGCTATGAGAGTATTATACCTGAGATGAAGATAGACAGACAACTAATTAGATTGCTTATTGTAAACAAGCGGTAGTCTGCTGAACAATCCTATACACTATATACAATAATAAAACCCGATTGGTACAAATAAACAAATATAAAACTGTTTGATTTCATCCCTGTTACATATGTCCCCTATCATCAGTTCATCAATGAAACCACGAGGCAAATCGATCTCTAAATGGACAAGAACTGATGGTATCAGGTATTTTTGCAAGACAATGCATGATACTTGTCACACCTCTCAAATAAAGGTACCAATGACGAATAGGTAAACAGTAAAGGTATACATTTTGTATGCGTCGCGATATTCACATACTTGTTTACACAGGTATCACTGATTTTTCAAGCCATTTTGAATTCATGACCAGAATCTTAGTTGCAAACAAATCAGGGAATTAGAAGAAGAAATCGTTTAGTTTAAAATATTCTAAGAGTGCTTTAATGCATGAATACCTGTTCACGATACAACCGCGAAAATAAGGCCAGTATAAAGGCAAAATAAACAGGCTGGCGCTCGCTCGAAGCACAAGTAACTATTCAATAAACGTGGAAATCGATCTCACACATATGTTGAATGCCAATTTTCTCACACACGGGTGTGTAAGAATATACAATATCCGATTCAAACTAATTTCAAATCCTAAGGCTTAAAACACTGAAATACCCTTAACGACTGCAAAGGAAAGACATCTTGCAGGCATCTAGTCGTGTATGACCTTTTTATTGTTCAGAAGCACTCAGCACATCAGTCAATATAATCATTTTTCATTTTCTAATCACATGCTGAATGGCAGACGGATAGGCCAACAAGTGTGACGCAGACATTGCCATTTGAGACAACTGGTCCCTTCGTGAAAACACGATGTACCTAGCTTGTCAGCGATCGCGATTTTTGTATGTGGGAATCATATACGTTTGGTGTCATATACTCCTGAGCATGGTGCAGGTAACAAATACATGTATGCCGGATCTTCATTATGGAAAACACCTCGATGGATCAACCTTTAAGATCATTGAGAAGTCCTCTCTGTTTTCCTGTGCGGCTGAATGTGTTTCCTATGGAATATGCAAATCTTTCAATTTGGAATTAGACCGGAGGGTGTGTCATCTGAATGGTTTAGATGACGTCCAGTATTTGGAAGGAGGAGGAAACGATCTGAATTTCATTTACAGTTCAATTGATAGTTGGAACAAGGTACCGTTGCGATAAAAATAATTTTTCCCCTTGACAGTATTCACATATAAGCTCAACTGGTAAATGCTATGCAGAAACGAGGTATTGGCAGTTTGTCGGCGTTTGTCTTATCACGTTTTGCCACTAAATACTGTGCATATATTTGGGCGTACTTTTTCGGATCCACACAGAAAAGCAGCAAATGTCATCAGTGATAAGTAATTCATTATTACACAGACAAGACAAATTGATTTGAATGATTATAATTAAATTCAGTGATCGAGCAAATGGTTCACCCCAACATAGAACGATTCAAAATTTCATGTTCGTAGTTTTACGGATTTGTCTGTGTTATAATATATTTTGATATTGTTAAACATTACAGACAGCACTTGGTCCATGTCACGAGAACCCATGCGGATACACAGAGAGATGCAATATCAAGAGAAATGGCATCGTGCATTGTGGTATGTACGGTATAACAACGACGGAACACGTACTTCCTTTGAACGTATTCACATGAAATATCCAGACTTAAATATAGTACACAAACTACTACATAAAGTACATGTATGGTGTTGTTGAAATATGCCACATATACTGACGTACATAACAAAGTACACACCTGGTGTTTTGGGACTATTCCCATTAAAACCAAAAATATTTTGCTAGCAATGTTGTTATTGAGTACAATATCTGTGGTGTTTTGGAAACACTTGTACAATGTTTTTGACGAGGCAGAATCAACACACTATTTGAATATTATTGCTGTTTTCAAGAAAATATTTTACCAAAGAATCGGGTGTGTTCTTCGTCAGTTTAGATTGACAGACGAGAAGTGCACGTCTGAGAGCATCTTTAGAAACATAATTCAACTTAATCGTCCTCGAAAACTGTCATAGTTCTTACGATGTTGATATTAAAATTAACCCAGATTAACTTCATTCGGGAAAGACATCTTCAGAATAATTATAACCTCAACAAAGACTGATCTCTCGAACAATTACCTCTGTTTTTAATGTAGTTATGTTCAAGCTTACTTACGTTTATATCAGAGTAAAGGAAGTCATGAATTACAAAAATAACTCGGTGAAGTAGAGAACTTATTACTTTGTAAACATGCACTTTAATAACAATGCGTATATTTACTCACATTATATATAACGTATGAAAGCAAACACATGTTCGGGATTAAGACCTAAACAAGAACCAGTTCGAAATTTTCCAGAGACTATTTTGCATCGTGTCAGGTTCTAGAGCACCATTCGTATTTTCTTGAGCATTGAAGGTAAGGAATCTTCACAACCCAAATTGCTTCCAACTTTATGGTTGTCTGGAAGTTAAGGTTTGGCCCCTTCTTTAGTCAATATTATGTAATCTCTGATGTGGCTAATCGGATTTGATACAGTTACAGTTATTTCGAAGTAATTTTCCCGTCGAAAACAGGCACTTCTATGGCCTGTGGCGTCAACGGCATATAAGACGTCTCACTGATTTGAGTTGAAATGAGAAGTCTATGGCGGATTAACCGGTAACCACGTATTTGGAAGGAGTCATGTTATGTCACGTCTTTATCTGAAGATTGCAAATCATAGATGTACAAAGGATATCGATTTACGTTGAAAGTCTTTTTGTGTTTTCCTAAAATGATGGATAAATGTCGAACTACTTGAAAACAACAAAGAGCATTAGGTTTTGTAGATGTAGACAATAGAAGTCACTTTGCTATGCAGTAACTACATGTATGTGTATTTATCATGTTTTAACCTGAGATATCTTTACGTCAACATTTCTGCGACATATAACTAAAAGCTACTGCATGGATTATTTTTTAATACAAGGGAAGAGTTTCCATACCAATAGAAAAGGCCTGATCCTTGCTAACAATTTACATGCAATCTGAGTGGAATACACAAAGACGTGAATATGAACAATGCCACGACTGAGCCACCAATCTGTTTGTCACCCACATATACTATATTGTATGCACTACAACTGATGACCACACCAGTACATGGTGTAGCCATGGTGTAAGAACGGATAACATCTATAACTTAAAGCTACTGCATGGATGTTTTAAATATATGGAAACATTTTCTGTACTTAAAGAAGAGGTGCCGTACAAAGTTTGATTCTTTAATATGACATTTTTTGATTCTTTTCCATGTTTCAAACTGTAAATTTATAAATTCAACATTTGATTTTGATACATGGATTTTCTTTGAAATTATTGCTTTTGCACGTTTTGAACCGTGAAGTGCTTTTTTTATGTCTCCGACCTGAAAGGGCAGGTTTATATACTTATACCAAGGACATTCGTAAAGAATCTGAATCGTCTGACAAACTTAATCTTATTGATGTATTCCAGAAAGCATGCTCTTCTTCAAAACATGCGATAATCACCATTTGACATACTGAAGTGACATCATTCAAATATTTAGAAAAAAAGCTTTCCCATCCTTAAATGTGAAAGGAACATCTTAATGACAGCCTTCTCAACAGTTTCTGAGAATTGCTCAGTAATCTGTTTGTCTGATATATGAGAAACCCTTATCTGATGCAGCTTTCTTATCAATGGTGACCCTCAACTTTTGCTAGTTAAAAATAATGCTCGCACAATCACTAATCGGAACGACAGGGGTCAAAACAGTAATCAACATCTACATTGTCAATGGCGTCTTTACTATGTTATATTATTGCCCTTTGTTAGAGAAACCAGCTCAAACGTCAGACATCAATATACATCCAGGTCGGGGTTTCTTGTTTGTTAAAAAATATTTCGGAAGTATATTCATTTTGATGTATTATAGAAAGCATAAATGAATTTGTGAGCAACAGAATATGTTTTATAGACACAAGAACATTAATCAAGTACCACACACCTTTTATATGATAACGAAAACACTACATGTATATATGCTTTGAAAACTAAATTCCGCATATTGAAATTATGGTAACTGTACCTTGTACTCTGATTTAAACAAACAACAAAACTGAAACTGAAATTTGGTAACTGTTTGGTAATTTGGTATGTGTTGCAGTAAATATCCATAATCAGTAAATATCTATATTTACTGATATATTTTCAGCTGTTGACCACTGATTCCATCAGGGACTATGAATACTTACTGAAATTTGCCGTCTGAGAGTAATACCCTAAAAACGTGAATATGAACAATGCCGTGACTGATTTACCAATCTGATTGTCATACAGTTCACATATGATGATTGTTGTGATTGTATGCAGCCACCCTTCGCACAGATGACATCTGCCAGTCTCCTCATACTGGCAAGATTCGAATTCTCAGCACTATTCCTAATAGAGTCTCTGCGTAAATAATGCAGATTTGGATCAAACTTGTCATCCGAGATAGCCCAAAGTTTTCGGAGGGTCAAATCAGGGCTACTTGCCGGTCATGGTAATGTTTGTAGGGCGTTGCTCTGCAAATGGGCGATGACGGTTCGAGGACGGGAGGTCTGGAGTTGTCATCCATGAATATCGGACGACCAGCGAGGCTATGGTTATGAAACTATTACAGGACAGGGTATCCAATGCCTCCTGTTGAAAACGTTGATCTCTAACTGTCCCAGGTACTATAATGCAATCCAACGTGCAGTCAAATAAATCGCAACCCCACGCCATCACTGAGCTACCACCAAAGAGTCCATCTACTTGGATCATCTCCTCGTGAAATGCCTCGTTATGTGCAAACGGCTGTCGGTAACGTGTCGAAATAGCGGTTTTCATCAGACTAGTGAACCCTACGCAATGTCCTCGAGTTAAGGTTTCCCGGAGCCTGCACCATTCCAGACGTGATATATATCGGTAATAAGCTTTGAGCTGGCAGACTATTAAACATATATGAATAGATCACTGATAATCATTGTTGAGACGAGGTGTTTGCAAAAAGGGGACTATGTTCTGCTTTACCGGTGGCACCGCCGCACATAGGACACGATCAAGTACAAGACGTTTATTCGGGATCAGAAACCAGATGACCTATAGTACAATACCCTAGATCATGCTGGCCCATGCTTGGCGAAACATGCATTTTGTATGAAGAAGTAATCACCCTTTGTGAAGTTGTAGCGTTGTAATTTCAATGAATATTGTACATAACTCAATCTTGTTGATTACAGGTGAATTTCTGCCTAATATTGCCAAGAATAAGCCAACAAAAGCAAGTTCTGTTGCATTCCACCAGCCAGGTGTTGCAGTGGACGGGGATATGTCAGCAAAGTGGTCTTCTGAATCCTGTTTTCATGTCGACTACAATGATTTCTCTCCATGGTGGCAGGTGAACCTGCTGGACACATATATCATCGTAGAAGTTCGCGTCACTAGCAGAGAAGGCTGTTGTCGTAAGTATTTCCTTCTCATTTTACACTATTTTTCACTTCAGATCCCTTGAATCTGAAACTGAAAGGGAAGTGTATGCTCCAAACATTGATGATACTTCAAATCCTAATGTCCTTCTGTCTTGTTGAATATGGCCTTTACAACTGTTTATAACTTTATTGTTCAGATTATTTTGTAAAGCTAACTTCAAAAAGGCGTTTTGCCCAAGTTATTACACTTTGTTCTGAATGTATTATATGATCTTGTTCGCTATTATTCTATAATGCTTTCCCTCTTTACTATTATTTAAATGCATCACTTATAATATTCACTATTGTCCAAATAGACCATTATAAACACTGTCTATCAACAGGAGCACAAACATTTGCAGTCAAGTTGCCCCCTTTTGTTCAGTAAACTATCCGTACATATGCTATCACTCTGCTGTTTCAGCTGAGCGTCTTCATGACTTTGCTCTGGACGTGTACCAAGGCGATCCTGTGTTTAACCTTAATGTCAGTTCCCAGTTGTGTTACATGTACAACGGAGCCGTCACACAGCATGGCAAAACTGTTGTCATTCAGTGCAAGTCATTCGTAATTGGCCGCTATCTGAGAATTCGTGGAACGAAAACCAAAAAACGGCAACGATGTTCTGCAGTTTTGTGAGGTCCAGGTGTTTGGCTACAAGGTTATACAATGGTAATTCTGGAGACATGATATAAACATGAGGACTATTTGTAAAATAAGTAGCGGTATACTTTCCGCTTCCAGTTGTTTCACTTACAAATGTACTTTACCATGACAACAACGTGTGTCGGATTGATGACCTATACGATGGATAGCGTTTACATTATGCTCTGTATATATCTCTCCGTCTTCAATATTTCCCAAAACTGATTTTCAAGTTCTATTTGAACAGCTGCCGAAACCATGTATTATCATGGGAGATTTCAATGGCCACAATCCACTCTGGGGGTGGTGCAACTACAAACGCTAAAGGTAAACTACTGGAAGAGTTTTGTTCAGATAATGATTATGTATTTGTAATGATGGTTCCAACACCTATTTACACCCTGGTGCAGGGACCTATTCTGCTCTCGACTTATCAATCACAAATTCAGAACTACTAAATGAATTTGAATGGTCAGTCCACGATGACCTCTGTGGAAGTGACCATTTTCCCATTATCCTAAAACCTGTAACTCCATCTGATGTTCCTCCCTCATCACAGGGGAATTTCAAAAAGGCTAACTGGGCTCTATATGAAACACTGTGTGCTGCAAAACTTACACCTGAACTTTTCATTGACGTTCCAGATGCTATCAGATATTGCGAATAAACTGGGTGAAACTCTTGCTAAACACTCTTCCTCTTCTTATTATGTGTCTAAATTCCAACAATATCAAAAACAACAAGAAAAGAAACCTATTACAGTCAAATCCCGATGAGACGAATGCCGGTGTCTCGAATATTATGCATAACTCGAAGTACCTGTCGGTCCCAACCATTCCCTGTTATAGTTGTCATTTTTTTCTACCCTCATAGACATACCTATGTCTCGAATACATCGATAAGTCGAATTTATTACTTGGTCCCCAGAGATTCGACTCAATTTATAGCCAACTTTTTAAATGACAGACAATTTCAAGTCCGTGTGGGTTCTACCCTGTCTGATCATTACAATCAAAATGAGGGTGTCCCACAAGGCAGTATTTTGTCTGTCACTTTATTTAGCATCAAGATCAACATTTTATCCAAGGTTTTAACTGATTCAATTGATGGATCCCTTTTTGTGGATGATTTTAATATTTCTTGTCGCGGTAAGAATATGCATGCTATTGAACGGCAAATAAAATAAATAAATGGTGTCTTGAAAACGATTTTAAATTTTCTAAATCCAAAACTAATTGTATACATTTTTGTAGAAAATATAAACCGCATAAAGACCCGGAATTGTTTCTCAGTGGCGCAGCCATCAAAGTTGTTAAGGAGGCCAAGTTCTTGGGTTTACTTTTTGACTCTCATTTAACGTTTCTGTCGCATATTAAATCCCTTAAAACTAAATGCCTGAAGGCGCTTGACTTGTTGAAAGTTGTTTCAAATTCTAAGTGGGGAGGGGATCACGCCACTCTCCTACACCTATATCGATCCTTGGTCCGTTCCAAACTTGATTATGGCTCCATCGTATATGGTGGAGCCTGCACAAGCAACTTAAAACTATTAGATTCTGTTCATAACCAAAGTCTAAGACTTTGTCTTCGGTCCTTCACAACTTCTTCTGTTGAAAGTCTCTACGTCGAGGCAGATGAACCATCTCCTTCACAACGCCGTATAAAAATTGTCTTTGCAGTTTATAAGAAAACTTTATTCTAACGAGTCTAACCCTGCATTTAACTGTGTCTTTAATCCTCTTTATGAGGATTTGTACAACAAAAACCCTTCTCTTGTTCCACCTCTTGGTTTCAGAATTAAACCGTTCATTTCTGCTGCCGGCATTGATCTTGAAACTATATCTCCTTACCGTCTTCTTTCTTCTCCGCCTTGGCAATTGGTTAGGCCACAAGTTGACCTAACATTAACTACATTTAAAAAATCAGACACAAATGAATTACAGTATAAACAAGAATTTAGTCAATTACGAAATATATATAATACATACAAATCCTTATTTACAGATAAGACAATATCTTTTCGATTATCAAATAACAGCTCTATTTTCACAGCAGAAGCTAACGCCATGTTAACAGCTCTTAAATATATTAATAAACACCGTAAATATAAACAATATATCATCTTTTCCGATTCTCCTTCGTGTCTTCAGGCTATTAAAAATCTTTCTTGCAAACATCCACTTTTATTAGAAATTATTGAATTGTACAATGAACTTGCTACTGGCCAATGCGACATCGTCTTTTGTTGGTTACCCAGCCACGTTGGCATTTCAGGGAACACCATGGCTGATCTTGCTGCTAAGGCAGCACTCAACAAGTCTGTGACACCACTTCCACTTCTACCACTCTGTTTCACTGTCTGGTAGGACAATGTGTGTCTCTACTTCTTATATCTGTTTCGATGTAGCATAAATGAAGGTATGTCACATTCTCTGCAAATAATGATGCCATTGAATGGTTGTTGACTTTCCCCCGTATGCTTCAAATGCCAGATTGTAAAGAATACGTGTGTGAATATATTAATTGTTGTCATCACAAATCCATATATTTAGATTCAGTGCCATTTTTCTTTTAGGCTGAACATGTGGACCATCACCAAGGTTCTAATACAGACATATATTTGTATACTTGCATATATATATATATATATATATATATATATATATATATATAGATATAGATATAGATATATATATATATATGCAAGTCCACGGTTATTCTAGAGTTCACAACCGAACAGTATTAAACTAACATTTGCATACACTCTCTCAACTATACTCAGAGACGAAGGTTATTGTGACATGGATATTTTTCAAATGTAATATTGTGAATGTGTTTTTGTATTTGAAACAAAGAAAGAGGTGTGTGTTAGCGCGACGTATCAGTTGTTTGAATTGTGCAACATTTGCAAGAATAATTGGCGAACAGTGCTTACTTAAAAAGGCCACACGCATATCATTTCAGCTCAATCAAGTCATTAGAAGTTTCGAAGTCAGAAAAAGACCTCGTATCATCATGCTGCCACGCCTCCAGGAAAATAACCGATGGACAGCTATGGGTTTGCTTCAGTCTCTTACCTTGCAGCTTGACGTTGCTTGACGATTCAACATGGATAGAAAACCCATTTGGTACTTACTTCAGCAAAGCAATCAAGTTATAGACCGTCCCTGCAGTGGCAGCCAACCATTAACGACATCACGCCAAATGGATCCAAAGTTTGCACCTCCGACACAAGTTCCAGCCACCAGCCTTTACAACTCGTACCTGCCAACAGAGGTGTATCTGCTTGCAAGAGGCACCTCCCAATGGCTGACTTGACACCAGAACAACGACGTCGACGTCGCCTGTGGAACAGACCACACGTTGCTCTAGTTGTACAGTAGGATCCTAACCAGAACAATGTTAATGTGTTACTCTTGTCTCTAAGATCGCCTGATTTGTCACCCATTGAACACGTGTGAGATGAAATGATGTTTACGAAGTCATCCAAATCCCCCAACAACGCTGCAGGAACTCTGCCACATCCTTCTCCGTATATGGAATGATCTTCCCCAGGCCTTTTATCAACGTTAACTGGCTTCAATGGGGCGAATGTGCCAGGTCTGCATCAGTAGACAAGATGTACGCATGCGCTACTAAACATACTTGTGAACCCCACTTGTGTTTTGGTCCATTTGCATATTCCAGGTGTTCTGCTTTAATGGACTGGCGACCGTAAACATTAGATATTGTTATTTCAGTGTAATAACATATCATTCATGGCAGTAGGAGTTTAACACGGATTCTGTTTGTTTGTCACAAAAGCGTTTGTATTTGAGTATAGACTAGGGTGAGTGTATGTATAGATTTCTTCCGTAATGTAAATGATAGTGCACCCGCTTTTACCCTGTACAATATTCTCCATGCGTCACCAAGGATAATAAGCTCACTATATTCGAGATATTTGTATCACTCACTAAATTATTACTATATTTCTGTTTAAGATCTGTGGAAACAATTGTATCACTGCTAGCTGCATCTACTACATAATTTGAAACTCGTATTGTTTATTGGTTTGTAATACTGTAATTCTTTGTAAGAAACCACATTTGTGTTTACAGTTAAGTTTTTCAATAGTGCTCCATGCAGGGCTCTGTAACAAGATTTGCATCAAGTTGTAATATGTATATCCATGTCTTACATGTTTTTCTAATAAAAGCATTTTTCGCTTAAAGTACCCGTGCTGCACTTACATTATTCCAGAGGTATTCTTTTGAAACGCATTGATTTGTTTAATAAAAAAAATTCAGTTTAAACGCTATTCCTAATCTATTGACTCCCAGTGGTTCACCTGCTGAATGGAACAATCAGCATTACGTTCTCCACGTCGACGCCGGACTCTGATTCTTCCATCCGCATGTCTGAGATGAAACACCCCACCGTCTAAGGATCCAACGCCAAAATGTCTTGCACCACAGTACACATTACAATGTATTGTCGCTGTCTCTGAGTCAGTCCAGTGTGGGGTGGTGGTGGGGTAGTCTAGTGGTTAAAGCGTTAGCTCGTCGCGCCGAAGACCCGGGTTCGAATCCCCACATGGGTACAATGAGTGCAGCCCATTTCTGGTGTCCCTCGACTTGATAATGCTGGAATATTGCTAAAAGCGGCGTAAAACCAAACTGAGTCAGTCAGTCTGTCAGTCAGTCAGTCCAGTATGCGGTCGACGTGCACGCAGCCCTAGCTGATGTAATAAACTTTATACTGGGGACTGATAGTACCCCTTCGTACAGTAATGATATGTCTGTTCTGGACACTGGATTGAACATGTTCCTAAATGAGTGAGGACAATGTGACGATCTTGGGCCGGGGTTGTGACCCCCAGTTGCCCTGGATATGGTTGATCACGTGCTCTGTCAGTTTGTCGTAGGTGCTGTGGATAGTGAGTGAGTGAGTGAGTTAATATTTAACGTCACATCGGCAATATTTCAGCCATATAGTGACGAGAAATGTTTTATACAAATAATAAATTAAAGTTGCTAAAGAATCAGTCAGCGAAGGACTGTAAAATAACTAGAGTATCACAGATGGAGTCTAAAACTAGCATGAACATGTAAAACTATTTTATTTATGAAGACAATACAATATATAAAACAGGCTGTAGATTGCTAACGACTGAAGGTAGATCACCATACTAGGGACCATGGGGACTTACAGTACATTAGCTTCCTGCATGGACCCTAGCTGGATTTACACCATCCCTTCAGCCGTCAAAGCAAGTTTAGACAAATTAGCCATAAGTTAAAATAACA